AGGCAGCTCCTGTGTTGAGCATCTGCCCCCAGGTGGTCAGTGCACATCATAGCGACTGGTCAACCATTCGTTCTGGTCATTCAGTCATAACGGTCACTTAGGCTTTTATATATATATTAGAGGCTGGTGCAAAAAAATTGTGCACTGAGGGGGGGTTCCCCTCAGCCTGGCCTGTGCCCTCTCGCAGTCCAGGACACCTCGAGGATGTCCGACTGCCAGCTTAGGCCTGATCCCTGGGGGATCCCTCGCAGTCTGGTACCTTACCACCCGCCTGCTCACTGCTCCTTACCGCTCAGCTCACTGCTCCCTAGCACTGCCGTGGAGGCAAGAGAGGCTCCCGCCACCGCCGCTGCGCTCACCAACCATGAGCCCAGCTTCTGGCTGAGCAGCGCTCCCCCTGTGGGAGCACGCTGACCACCAGGGGGCAGCTCCTGTATTGAGCATCTGCCTCCTGGTGGTCAGTGTGCATCACAGCAACCAGTCGTTCTGCCTTAACGGTCACTTAGGCTTTTATTATATAGATAGATGTACTCTTTATTATGAAGCCAGACTAAAGGAATTCACTGTTGCCTCCCTGATTAGTAGTTAAGGGAATGAGCTCAGAAGCAGGTAGATGTGAATTCTGCTCTGCTTCCTTTCCATTGTGTCATCTTAGTTAATAACCTTTTGGAGCTTCTAGTTCCTCTTCTGCAAAAAGAGTATAGTCACATCTATGTTCATGTGGTAGTTGAGGAGAGTTATGCAGTGTACACTCTAGCATGTTTTGTCACATAATAAGTACTCATTGATAATTGCTATTATCTTACTATGCATTGGATACTGGGATAAAATAAAGTATCCGAGCCCTGACCAGTTTGGCTCAGTGGCTAGAGCAGCCGTGGCAATGAATAAAACTAAAAAAAAAAAAAAAAAAAAAAAAAGACCGTACCCTTTTTTTTTAAATATATTTTTATTGATTTTTTACAGAGAGGGATAGAGAGTTAGAAACATCAATGAGAGAGATCGATCAGCTGCTCTATCCACTGAGCCAAACCGAATAGACGACCGTACCCTTTTATGTAATGATGTTTACTTTGAATTTATATTAGTTCACACAAACACTCCATCCATACTTTTGTTTCGGCCTCCGGTCCAGTTTAAGAACCCATTGTGGCCCTCGAGTCAAAAAGTTTGCCCACCCTGGGCTA